CACTATCCATCTCCTGAAAAGAAGCTATCTATCTAACGTTCAGAGACCTCAAAAATATGAAACATCACCTTTGAGAATATTGAATCTATAGCAGAATACTGACTGAGTTATGTATTATTGCTCCATTAGAAGTGCTTTAATGACTAGAAAACGGTACCCTTCAACCACCGATGTAATTCGCCTAATAATGTCTAAAAGAATACAAATCTCGCTTACAGGATATTAACGTTAACCTTCACTTCATTTATCAACTCGTTTATAAATTTTGTTACTGCTTCTATAAAGAGGGAAAAGAAAGCTTACATAGAGCATGTGTTTTGGTCAAATTTCAAAACAGTAGGCGTTTACACAATCCGGTTGTCGCTATAGCAATTAACTTAAGAAACGCGGAAGATTTAAATATATTAATTCAATTAAAACTATTCTTCCCAAATAGTGGCTCTTTAAAAACTGGGAACTTTTGCCTCCTCCGTTTCAATAAGTTGCCGACTCCTGGTCTATGCCTGTACTAATATTATAAATCGCACCTCCAAGCCAAACGTCCACTTGGGCATCATAAAATATTGTATAATTGCTACAAAGTGCATCGTCGGATACGTGTAAATTCTCGAGTCAATACCGAAAAAACTCGAAGTTACCAAAACAGTCCTGAATAATTGTTTCCGCTATGGCAACTGTGCAGAGGCCAGAGCTGGGATGATTACTCAAAAAAAGTAATCGAATACTGATTACAATTACCTTGTCATAAAAGTATTTAATTATAGTAATTGATTACTTCAGAAAATCTGTATTCGATTACTGATTACAATTGTAATCGATGACTTTAGCATTGTAATTACCATTACTGTTATTTTTAAACTTAGGTACCTACATCTTACACGTATTTTTTAACATTAACGAGTTCGTTGGTTTTCATTGTTATTTTAAAGATATTTCGATAAAGCCAGATATTCCATAAGGAAGTTCAAGATCGGTAGTAACCCATGCACTTGTAAGTAGAAATTGGAATTTATGTACACCGAATTTTTACTAAATAAGCATGTTAAAGAAATTACACAGTAAGTACTTACTCCATGAACTAATAGAATTAAAACAATTAAGTACAACAGACATAGAGGTAGATAACTCAATGCCTCCATTGTAATCATGATTACGTTAGTATTCGTGATTACTTTAGTAACCATGATTACAATATGATTGCTAATTAGGATTACTACTGAGAAAAGTAATTAAATTACAATACTCATTACTGTACTTTAAAAGTATTTAGTTACTGATTACTGATTACTGATGATACAGAAAGTAATTAAATACTGTAATCGATTACAATTTTGTAATTAGTGCGTAATACGCTAAAAATATTGCGAAACTCCGAAGCGAACGATAATAACGATTATTTGTGGCTACCGATCAGTATTCTCTTCGAAGGAAATGATTTTTCTGAAAACTTTTGTTTGTTTTGCCGCCTACATGTTATCAGAAAACCACATTGAAAAAGATGTTGCCAATACGTGTAAATAATATAAAAAGAGTAAATAAAATACCGTCATCTTAGCTGTGATTTTTGCCTTCTCAATTTACGTTGCCTATCTAATCCATTGGATACTCCATTCATTTTTTTGCGATAGCTTAGTTTTTTCTGAAAATTCGGTTTCACGTAAAAGGCTCCTTGAGGCATAAATACATTAAAGCGAAACACGCCAAGAAAGACAGTACGTTTCCATTAAAAGTAATTTCGGTAGGACAAAAACTCCTGTTGATACGAAACAGATAAAAACCTAATTACCAAGCATTTGTGAAAGTAATTTATGTCACTCAAAGTCGTCTTCGGTTGAAATTAAAAAACACACCCACACATCGACGTAATTCTTAATTTGAAACACATAGTCCTATCAGTACGAAAATAATATTTTTCAAGTCACATAGTAAGACAGTTAAACGAAATTTTGTCAAGCTAAAAATATTTTATAATTAGAATGCCTATAGTTTGTTGTTCGGTAATAAATGGTATTCATTCTATTTTCTTCTTAAAAATAATACAGAGGGTAATCGATACTCAAATTAGATTATTTACTAGATATCGTCTGCTTTCCTTTGACTGAAATCTAAATTTTTTATATACCAAAGAAAGTTTAATTGAAAACACTGGGACCGAAAACTAGTTATAGGTGAATCAACCGCATTTTAGTTTAGTTTAGTTTAAATTTCCACAGTTACTAGTCCTTACTACACGCACATATCCAATTCTGCATTTCTCGTGCAGGTTTTAAAACCGGTAGATTAAGAAAAGAGAAGCATAAAGCACAAAATTTAATCTTGATTACTATACATCAAGTGATTCACAACCCCTCAGAATCCGACGACACCTATGGTGACAGAGGGGCTTCCACGTCCCCCGTGTACTCGTGTAAGTTTTTCCTTATAACCTTGAACGAGGCATGGTCGAGTTTGCTTACTCGAAAATCTACTCCTGTATTGGCTAATGGCAATTCAACCTTTTACCAGATAATTTTAGAATCAGAAGTTGCTTAAATGTCGTCACCATACGCCTCAGTTCATTTTATCACGTTTGATGAGCGACCGTCGAGAGCCAAGAGCCCCAGGTCAGACTAAAATCTATTCTGGTATTGGGTAGCAGATAACCTAACTTTTTCGGGTTAACGTATCATGAAGTGGAATAGTAACCTTTTTTGTTGAAATAGCTACTCATGTTGGATCAGCTCCCAAAATCCACGTTTAATGAATTATTGTTGAGAATCAGACATACAAATAATTCTTTAATTTCTTTAGAATACTGGCAGCTCAAACACCCAGAAGCGCAGAAAATTCTGCACCTCGAAAAACCCCTGGGTACATTTCACTTCGACTATAAAAGATCCAGACACATTGCCAAAAGCTGGCGTGTTTATCAACTTATTAAACTTATTAAAGGCAGTTCAAGATCATTATCAAGTCAAGAAAAAGGAAAGAATGAAACCTGTTTAAGATGGGTCCAGGAGATAGGTTAAGAAAGAAATTATCGACAATGAACAATTTCATCTATTCTTAAAATGGTGTTTAAAATAAAACATCCCGGCGATAAATTTTTTTACCGAAAATGAATTTGACACGAATTTCAACACTTAATGCATTATAAAGACAGTTTTTTATGGAAAATTGGTACCAGTGGCCGCGCTCCAAATTAGGAGAGTAACAAACGGATCATTCGTGCCTTGCCGAACCTCGCCTTTTACACATAAGCACAGAGAGTTCCTCTTCTTTTCCTGTAAATAAATACAGATAACTCTCAGAAGTACCATTATAAGTTGCCTTTAGGTAATAAAAAAGTTATAATTTCTTACAACTCCTAAGAAATTATGCAGTTAAAGATGTTCATAGTTCACTTTCAAATCTACCAAAGTAAGTGACACGTAAAACTTTCCGGTTGATACCAATTACTAAATGAAATTGAGAGGCTCGCGGAATTTCACATTTTTTGTGTACTTTCCAGTATCAAATTTATTACTTTGCCGCTATATAAATTCAAAGTATTCCCTCGACTGCTCATAAACCGCTTAAGAGTGATTAAGGCGCGTAAAAAGTGGTCGTAACACACAAAACCTTCTATCAAACGCCCAGTTTTGAAGTTGAATTTAACAAAATCGGTGGTATTTGAAATTATCGACCTATGGGAATTACGCGTATGTTTCCTGTTGAGAATTGTATACACTCTTTCCTAAAATTAAATCTTAGTTGTACTGAGATATCCTGTTTGAGGGTGAAAATTCCTGAGGAGATTGTTGTGCAACCCCAATGAGTTTCACTCCTAATTCAGGTATGTGGTGGATAGGGAGTTTTTATAAAATGGAAAAAGATGTTTCGAATTAACAACACTATATACACGGGTTAGAATGCGATTCCTCCGTTTTGAAGTTCAAGGCATGGAGCTATACACTGGCCTCTCACAGTCGCCGTAGTTTTAATTTGGTGAAATGGAAAGTAGTTTTAACAATATTTTTATATTTTTCAAATTAGAATGGGATTTTTAGGGTAGGCTTATAATAAATGCTTATATCCTACTTTCTAGTTTACTTCCAAAAATGCTGAAAACTTTATCTTAGCTGAAGCAGCGGCATAAGGATATGCAGCACTGGTTGTCATAAGGAAATTTAAATATTAGAACGGATACCAAAATGATTTGAAATAAAGGAAAATTTCAGTGCATTAGAAGGACCCTCCATACTTGATTATGTGTAGGTGCAAAAGTTAAATAAACCGTGTGAACTAAAACTATTAGAAAAATACTTTTAGTAAGACACTTTCTTTTTATTGTGACAAGCTGCGGAATTCCTATATGATAATGACAAATGACCTACTATATCCATTGAACATTTTTCAAATACCTACAGTTTTGGAAGCGTTCGTAATTTCTAATGCTATTTCTGTTTTTATTCCTTTGACAAACTAAGTACACATTTTTTTTTGCATAATCCCTGATATCTGGCTTCCCGTTTGGCCATTTGTAATTTCTTTACCCTATTGCACATCCTGTTGCATCCTGCGTGTCTTAAAATGGTCCTTTACCGTTCTTCATTGATTTACCTCATAATGAGACTGATAATTTGAACTTCCAACGCATTAATCTAAAACTGACTGGCATCTGTAAGTTATGATGAATGGTTTTAAATTTCCTATTTATCTGGAACGCCAAGTTTTTTCTGAATTTTCACGAATCTATACCGCTGCTATCGAATGTTGTTGTGCAACCGTCTAAACCACGGTTTATCGCAAGATCGGGCGGCGGAATTTTCGAGGTGGTTTCTATATGCAAAAACTCGAAGCGTTTTTTTGGGAACGGATTACCTTAAACCAAGCGTTCCGATTTAAATAATTGGTATCTTCTTTTTGCGTGGTAATTAATGCGACTACTTAGAGGTCTTGGAAGGTACATATATTGCCATAATTATGTCGATATACAGTACAGATGAGTAAAAGCCTTATACCTCAGGGCAACTAATTAATAAACAAGGGAAGTAGCATTTATTTTATATATAAATGATAATTAACTGAGATAAATTCACATGTTAACCCTATGATAAACAATGAATATGTAAATATTATGCACACAATGCTTAAAGGGGATTGTTTGTCAATTATATGGCACTTACGGGTGCCGAAATGATATTTATCTTGTCATCATTTCATTTGATTGAAGTGTCGCTTGGACGAACGTGAATGGTATATCCATAATCGAGGAAAACAATTTATTGCATATAGATAGGCTTACAAGTTAATAATTTCTCTAATGTATAAGTAAACACAAGCAATTCCGTTTCGTTAGTATGAGGAATATTTTACTTTGTAAAGCCGTATTCTTGCCGGGCATATGGCGCTAAAATGGATCACTACAAAGCAAATTATATTTGTGTGAAAACCTTTGTTCTTTAAACATCGGCTTAATTATTAGCTTTTGTGTATTTTTTGGAATTTACAAATGCAATTCACTTCGTCGTCTGCGTTCACTATTGTCAAAGGAAGAATTTTCGATAACATCGCACGGGCACATAACAAACACTGGTTTTGTAAATAAAAGTTTAGACTTTTTGCTGTCATATTCCTCAATATAACTACCATTTCTGAGGTTTCTCCTCGTGGCAGCCATTTGGAGATTTCGAGTAGTGAATTAGGAAAATGTAAGGTATTACCTTCTAGAATATATCCATCGGTGTAATTTTCTTTTCAAAATGCTGGGGTGGGATACATAAAGTTTGTTTAAAGTTGACACGAAACCTTCCCCATGAAGTTTATGAAACAATATTACGACTAGTTTATGCAAAAACCATTATCAAGTATTTGTGCAACTAAAATTCAGATATAAATTAAATAGTTTTAATTAAGCCGGACTTACTTGAAGGTGATGATATTAAAGGCAAATGTTGAAGTGTTGAAGGTTTAAGGTTAAAGGTTTTGAACGTTGACAACGGATAGTAATTAAGTTTTAGTTTTAAATGTAAATTCATCTGGAAGATTGACTAGTTAGCAACGTTATAATCTCACATCGAGATACTTTACATGGGTTGCATTTTCAACATAAAATTGTAAAGTTCTGGACGAATACATTAACATTCCCATCTAAGGGCTATTTAACTGGAGAGGCTTCCTAAGTTTAGGCAGGTATCCAGAGATTATACAAAAATTGAAATTGAAAAATTGCCTAAAACAAAGTGACCTAAATAGTTAATTAGCAAAATTGTTTGTGATATAGGTACTTACATCAGTTAAAAAATTTGAAACCGCATTGTTGAATTAAGTAATTTTGGAAGTAGACCATTTCAATTCTTAAGTCCTGCTGTGGAACCTACAGCTCATACAAGTACTTTGAGTAACACTCATGAAAATGCACATATTTATTAAGTAACGTTTATTAATACAGGATGATCCACAGTCGATTGTATGTAAGTAGAGATTCCTTATAACAGATCAATTTAGGTTAAAGTTATCACAAAACGGCCCTAACTATCTATCTCACAAATTTTATAATAAACTGCCTCCAAAGTACGGTCTTTACCACTAAATCAATTTAAATTAGTAATCAAGCAACTGTTGATATCTCACTCATTTTATACTTTTTACTGTAGCACAACCTTGACATGTGTAAGTTCAATGTGTGTAACAACACGAATTATATATTATTATTATTTTTATGAAGATATATTAACCGTCGTAAAGCTTTATGAGTATACCGATCTTATCTGATCTTTTGAATTTAATTACCAGCAGTAAAGCGAATTTAATTACGTAATATTCCAGTTTGGGTAACATTAATTCCGTTCTTATAACATACCCTCGGGTAGAATTTTGTAAAGACAGCCGTTTTTTATAAACATTTACTTGCACTTAATCAATCAGCGCGGTAAACGGAGGGCCCCAGACTCCACAACCATACGTTACAGTGGGCACTACTACTGTTTGATACACTTTTAGGTCCATTTTAGCCGTGTTTATTATATTTAAATTAGTAGCTGCATGCATTTGAAACTTCTGTAGTGAAAAGTTAGTCCTAAATAAGAATGAGAGTTTACTACCTCAATAGCACCGTCATTATTCAGAAAAAGGTCGTCCGCCGCAATACGATTAGCTTCGCGAAGTACAATAATTTTTTTCTATTTCGGTGTCACAATGATGATTTTGTACAACTGTTTTCGGCCGAAAACAGTTGTACAAAGACAGTGATTATAGTCGTTTTTTTGGTAACTCATCTCTTAAGTTGGCAGTTACTAGTTAGTACAAGTAGTACTTCGTTGGGTACTTCCATGTTTGAACTTCAAAATGTCAGTCTTACTACGCTGCCAACCTAAAACTTAACGGCATAAAAAGTGTTCCCAACATAAAACATGTTAGTTCTAATGTTCCCTATAGTTTCTGATAATGATTTTTTTAATTAAATTAAAGCACCGAAATAGAAAAAATAGTATGAAAAACGCGTGTTACAATGCTTTATTGTAATACTCCTATCTTGCGGACACTCGTGGCTACGCTTCGCGTCGCCACTCGTGCCACAAGATAGTCGTATTACAATAGGTCGCATTGTAACACTTGTCTTTCAATATACTATTTTCTATTTCGGTGTCACAATGATGATTTTGTACAACTGTTTTCGGCCGAAAACAGTTGTACAAAGACAGTGATTATAGTCGTTTTTTTTTGGTAACTCATCTCTTAAGTTGCCAGTTACTAGTTAGTACAAGTAGGTACTTCGTTGGGTACTTTCATGTTTGAACTTCAAAATGTCAGCCTTACTACGCTGCCAACCTAAAACTTAACGACATAAAAAGTGTTCCCAACATAAAACATGTTAGTTCTAATGTTCCCTATAGTTTCTGATAATGATTTTTTTAATTAAATTAAAGCACCGAAATAGAAAAATAGTATGAAAAACGCGTGTTACAATGCTTTATTGTAATACTCCTATCTTGCGGACACTCGTGGCTACGCTTCGCGTCGCCACTCGTGCCACAAGATAGTCGTATTACAATATGTCGCATTGTAACACTTGTCTTTCAATATACTATTATTTAGAACAGTAACTTTCTAGTGACCGTAACGCTTTTCTCATGTTTGGCGCAGACTTAGGCAATATAACCCAATCATCAGCGTACATTAAAAACCCGGTATCTAGAGGAACTCCCCTTACTTCATATTTAAAAAAAAACGCTTTCCACGTCTGAACAACGTAAAGAGTAAGGGACCCTTTTATTGAGTTTACCACTTATTCCCGAAAGTTTTTGCCATAAAAGATCGTGTTTTGAATTGAATCAAATGCGTTTTTGAAATATACAAACAGAGCATACATTATTCTTTGCTTTTTTAAACAAATATTATTAAAAATAATTTGGATAATTGCTTCTGTAACCACATAATACTTACCTAACTACGTACTTATACAGAGTTTTCCCAAAGCCTCGAGAGGGAGTTTCAAACGAGTGAAGAAAAAATTGAAAATTACGTGATCAATAAAGAGTCAATAAAACTACATTTTAGATGGAACTTTCGTATACTGGCGAGTTTTTTAAGGGGTCGCTATCTTAGTTATTTTAAGATTACTACCAAATGAGAAAGCAACATGTTTATTGCGATTTTTATAATAATTTTTCAAATTGTCGCCCTTTCTCGATTTCGCAATGACCCAAACGCACATAAATGGAATTTTGAACCTTTTGGAGCATATGCCTAGTGGTTTCTTCAAGTATACGATTTTACAAATCATTTGCGGTTAGAAACCCCCAAAAAAGAAATCGAGTAATGTAAGATCCGGAATCTGTTTCCTTTTTAATTACTTAAATACTTACCTTTAAAGTAAGGTGAAGCGCGGCAGGGGTTGAAATTGAAAAATTTTGGAGTTACCGCCTCCTAAAAAATTCCCCAGTGTCTGAAAGGTTTAAACAAGATTTTCCATTTTCAAATTTTCTTCACTTTTGAATCTTCTAGTTTATAACTGCGTACTGTGTCTGAATGAGCACAAGAAATTTTCTCCATGTGTTTTAAAACAAGAAAGTTCGAGTAGGTGACGTAAGTCGACCATCAAAATCAGCAGAAACTGTGGCGCCTATCACGCACTGGTGTTACATGCTATTAGCGATAGTGAGCTACCCCACACCACCCTTCCAATGAATTAGTAGATTATTTAGAGTAGCATCCGAACAAATAGTATATAAAAAAGTATATATAAAACCAATTCTCATCTGTAGAGCTTGAACAATTGCTATGCAAACATTTGGAATTATCTGGCACACTATACAGTACCTTTCCCTAGCTCTTTTTTAATAACAAGTGGCGGGACTAGATGAAGTAAACACTCAAACTCGGTGGGATACATTCGAACAAAGTTCTCGTGTCCGCGGTGCAAGCGTAGTGGTTCATTCATTAACGAGCTATATATGCACCTTCCACTTCAAATTACCACATCAACCTTTACGGGCATGGGAAAATATTTGTTACCACAATTTCAATTTAAATGATGAATTTACAAAGGGAAGAAGATTATAAACTCTAATACTATTGCTCTAAAATAATGTGGCGAATAACATAACAAATTTTGCATTGAAATCTCAGTGCTCAAATCACGACTCTGTGTATCTACAATAAGTAGGTATTATTAAAAAAAGTTTCCACTAAAAAGTGGACTATTTCAAATTACGGCATGTATTCTTATTTATTACTAATTCACAAACGCGTCGGAAACGGATCGCTCCAGTTCAACTCGTCGTTTTGGGAATAAATTGTATTTACCAACTTTTTCAAGCAAACACAACGTGATTGAAGTAGGTACTTAGGATGGTGGATTGTTAACACACTTTTTTCTATTCTATTTATTCTATTCATATATTCAAGATTTCAACTTTATTGCGCAATTCAGTTATCAAACGTTTCCAATATTGGAAGCTTTAGATATATATCAAATATTGAGTATTTGTGGATATTTTTTACAAAAGAGGAAGCTTCAAATAATTCCTTTCAACGCTGAGGGCCGGCGTAAAAAGTATAAATCAATATTGGTGCATGATTGAGATAGGTAATATTAATATCAGTTGGCAATTAAGTTTGCGAAGCTCTGAGGTAGTTCGCTTTTTGCTTTGGAGAGCGCGAATGAAATGCGATCTGAGCAATTGAGAGGTGAAACCTTAGCGAAACTTTCCAGTTAGATACCTGTTACTCTATACCATTCAATGCTACTTTTCTGTACTCGATCCAATGAAAGGAATTTTATGCACTAGCTATCATGAAAGCTTTTAAAGCAGCTTCGATTAAAATGCGCGAAGGCGACTCAATAATGTATAATTAATTGAACATACGTACTAAAGTGTTAATTGAAGGATTGACATTTCGTATACCCTATCGACACACAAAACGTATGTTTTTTTTGTTTAAAATGTAGTTCTATGATATCCTTATTTTGTTAAACGTATATGCCCATCAAACTCTGGTGTGTGAATTTGCCTGACCAAACCCTTGCGCGAGCTTGATCTATTTTTCGATGTATTTTGGTGGCAAGACTAGACCTTGTTTTTTTCGATGGTTAGATCGAAACAAAATTACGTTTTTCTGATTCCACCGGACAAAATCTACCAAGAAAATTTGTTTTTCATTTGATATGAGACAAGTGCCTATTTTTTAAGGCAAGTTTATACTTTTTGATCCCATATTGCTCCTAAAACATAAATAAACCTTTCTTAATATCGACTTTCAAGTTCTAGATATTTAGCTTACAAGCATTTAATGGTGACTCAATGTGTAATTCGAAAAATAATAATGTAGTTTACAATACCAACGTCCAACAACACAAATTACAATTATTTATGGATTATTTATCAACAAAGCAATACCTGATTCGAACATTTTAAGAAACAAATGTTTATGGCAGATAATTTGAAATGTAGACAATATGGTATAGGAATTGTATTGATTTGCTATTATCAAAATTAATTTAAAAAAAAGGTTTTCAAAAAGATAACAGTAAATTTGTCGTTTTTCGAAAACCACCCCTCCTTCAACACTTCCTAGGACAAATAGAACCTATTGTGAAAGGATTCGAATATGAGTGAAATCTTTCATTATTTCTATTATTGAACCATAATTGATTATCGCAATTTGTTGTTAATTAATGGTGTTCAATTCTCATAAACTGCTTCTACCTGAAAATCTAGTACTCCATCTACTCTTGCTTACCGTTACGCGTTTCTGACTGGTTTAAGGGTAGATATTTCACTTCATTTAAGCAGTGGCAGTATATAATAGGAAAATGGGAATTCAGAAGGCGTTTTGACAATATGTTCTGTATGGAACTTCTTTTTATTTTTGTCAAAAATCAATTATCGTTGGCGATAATTCACAACTGGCCTTGTTGATGGAAACCCATTGTTTCATTAATAAAACGGAAGCTGAATTAGAAATTATTATTATTATTATTATTATTATATAATCATCCTTAAAAGCACAGACAATAAAAGCGAGGAAGTTTTTAAGCTCAAGGACCTTGTTAAATACAAAAACGTACATAACTATGCGTGGTGCATCGGCATCGAGATCGGGATTTTCAAAATCGCCGTTAGGTCAATACTAGTTGGGAACGACTGCT